AAGCCACCGGGTCTGGGACGTGAACCGCGGTCGACTACGTGGGAGTCCAGTGACATAGCCATTACGCTACCTGCTGGTTCCCTCTCTCTGGTTATTGTAAGTGCCTTATAGGAAAAAAAAATTAAGTACCTAGATGAACATCTTTCCTGAATTAATTGTATACTTAGATAATCTAAAATAATCAACATAAACTTAACTAGAATGAGCTTTTCTTACAACTTGCTGTATGATAAAAAGTGACTGAGAGACTATGAGACAACTAGGACTTTAATATATTGTGTGTGCTATGTTCTCAATTCGATACTAACACAGAAATAATCATGCCTGCACGCCAGGGTCCAAAGCATTCCAGGGTTTATATTAGGTTACCTTGCATCATAAGAGTAAATTTTAGAATAGAAATAATTCATTGATGCACTATAAAAAGTCTTTATATCATTCAGAGTATTTGTAAATGTGTTACTGCCTTTATATACTTTTCAGTGAAAACAGGAATGGAAAAAATAATATTCTTGAGCAAGTTTTATGAATACAGAGCTATGAATCACCCATTCAATAACTACTGGCTATTTACCTCCTATATTCTAGCTTACAATCTAGAGAATCTTTGACACTAATGAACTCACAGAAATGAGTGTATAATTACAAGTTGAGATGATTGCTACCTGTGAAAGAAAGGAACCTAGTTCTCTGAGATTACAGAATGTGCTGGTCTAGGAAAACTTCCCTGGGGAAGAACAGCTTGACTTAGATTGACTGGATGGAGAAAGCCTTCCTTTTTTTTGAAAGGATTTTTGCAATAGGGTGCATGCACTCACCAGAAAGACAGAGAGAGATAGAGAGACAGAAAGTGAGAAATCACCCCCCAGCGGGGATGGCCACACTGCAATCCCTTCTCCTCCATTCTCTTCTCAGGATCTTGGACATGCACACACATGTGCCCGGCATGAGTTTAAGCCACTGGGCCCGGGGCTCAAGCCACAGTTGACTACATGGGAGTCCAGCGACATAGCCATTACACTAACTGCTGGTCTCCTTTCTTTTAACTGAGAGAAGAGATGAGCTAGAAGAAAAAGAGCAATATAGGTAGAGGTCTGCAAAGGCCCTGTGGTAGAATGAAAGTGGTGCTCTGTTTTGTCTGTAGCACAAGGTGTGAAAACCAAAATAATACAAAAACAAAGGTTATCAGGTGGGTAGGCGCCATAGCAAACAGAGTAAGGCACAAGGTGTCGAGCTGTTTTGTTTTCCAATAAGTGTCATTGGAAGCTATTGCTAAGCTAGCTAGGCTAAGTTACTGGGGGCTAACTGATGTGACTTAAGTTATGAAAGCCTAGGTGTTCCTGCAGTAGAGGACCAGAGTGGGTTTAGAGAGCCTAAACTGAACTAGGGAGGTGTCAGTGCAGTGGAGATGAGGAGAAGTGGACAGACGGGAGATGAATTTAGGAGGAAATGAATGGGATATGGGGAGTGAGAGGAGGTCCGTCTCAGGGTTTGTAACTGAGATTCACTGGCTGGGAAATAGGTGAAGAACACATCCATGAGGACAGATCATGAGCCTTGTCTTTGAGGGCAATACCTTTGACCAACTAAAGAGAGAGAGAGAGTTGTAGGGAGAAGAGAAAAAAACCTGAATTTGAGGCTTATGGATGGTAGGAAGAGGAAGAAGAGACTTCCAGAGAGGTTGGAGAGGCAGGCAAAATGCCAAGTGGTGTCACGGAAGCTATTTGAAGAAGCAACTCAGGGAGAGCAGTCAGTGCTGAAAGATCAGGAAGAAAGCTGAGAAGTGCCCACTGGATTGGATGGCTGGAGGACATGGCAATCTTGGCAACGACACTGCTTCCCATGTATAGGTATGGAAGAGGATGAGATGGTACATTGCAGGTTTGAGAGCAGGCACTTGAGAAAGTTCCTGCTGGATGGCTTCACTGAAGCCAGTGAAGTAACGTTTTCAGTGAAGTAAGTTGGAATATCACTTGCTCAGAGAGAAGAAAGGATGCTGGGGCTTAGAGGTTTGAGAGAAGGGGAAACATTTGAAATAACAGTAGTGAAGACCAAGAGAAAGTGGAAGAATTTTCTTTTGGGAGTTCAATGTTCATGTGAGATGAGAGAGAACTAATTCAGGTCAATTTGCTGAAGAGTATCTGACTGCAGAGGTGGAGAAAGTAGATAGAAAGGTTTGTCTAGGGGTGACGTTCTGCCAGAGGGTGTAAAAAAAATGGAAAGAACCAGGGGACCTCAGGGCATTGGCAAGGATGTTACTATGGAATTTATGGATAAGGAAAGACATTGGAAAGGAAAAGAGAGAATTTGTGATATGAAGGTCCTGATGAAGCCACAGGGTGGTAAAGAGAACAGTTGAATAGCATGATGGAAGGGAAGAGGATGCTTGAATTTGTGGTTTTACAGGTGGTGTGGTGGTTAAGGTGCTGGACACTCCCACATGGCCAACCACGGTTCAAGTCTCAGACCTGGGGGCTTGCTTTCTCACTTTTTTTCTCTCTCTCTCTGCCTCTCTCTGGTCCCATTAAAACAAATGAATGAATAAGTAAAATTAAATAAAATTATTAAAATAAAAGATAAGCAATGTGACCTTGGGAATAAGTGGCTGAGGTGAAGGACAAGAATGTCATTGTAGACAAGGAAGACACCAGGAGGCCAGGGACCTGAATGGGTTTCCTATAGGATGTTGAAGTTATCCAGGATAATGGAAGGACCTGTTTAGATAGGAGAGGAGAGAAGGTTATGAAACAGGAGCCATAGTCTTTGAGAATGAGAAACAGGTTGATAGGGCCAGTTGGTGGCATGGGAGTTAAGGCAGTTGGTTCCCTTATGGCTGACTACGTGGTTCAAGTACTGGACCCAGAAGTCTGAAAAACACTCCAAGAGCATGCCCAACATCATAAAAGGAGGAATGGAGGAGAACAGATTGTAATGTGGCCATCCCTCATGCTTTCTCACTTCCCTTCTCTTTCTCTGTCTCTCTCTAGTGGGCTCACAGAATAAGGTACAGCATTTTAAGCATCCTCCAGCACATTAAAAGACAAAAAAGAAGACAGGTTGACAGATGACAGTGATGAGATAAGGAGACAGGAGTGCAGCTGAGTGGTGGAAGTAAGTATGGAGAGCCCCCAAGCCCAAATGGGGACCCTACAATACCTGGTGTGAGGGAACCAAGAGTCACCATTTAAATAGAAGCAGCAGCCTTGATGTAGTGACAAGTTTCAAGATTATGGAACTAAAACACAAGTTTCTAAGTGCAAGTATAACTTTCCGTCTAGTAGATTAAACTTTAAATTTTTCTGTGACTTGGCCAGTTTGAATCTTCTCAGTAGTTTGGGCATGCGTGCACACAAACCTGGCGTGATTTTCGAGTCACCAGGTCCAGGACTTGAACTGCTGGCCATGTGGATGTCCAGTGCCTTAACCATCATGTCTCCTGCTGGCCCCAGTTACACTAGATTTTATAACATTATGACGTTTACCACTGCTGGTATTACTTTTACCTCCATTATTACTACTGTGCATTTTTCTAATAATTTATGCTTTAAAAAATACTTTGGGGGAACCAGCAGTTAGCGTAATGGCTATGTCGCTGGACTCCCACGTAGTCGACCGCGGTTCGTGTCTCGGACCCGGTGGCTTAAATCTCACGCCGGGCGCATGTGCGTGCGTGCCCAAGATCCCGAGAGGAGAATGGAGGAGAAGGGATTGCGGCGTGACCATCCCCCCTGGGGGGTGATTTCTCGCTTTCTGTCTCTCTGTCTCTCTCTGTCTGTCTGGCGAGCGCACGCGCCCTATAGCGAAAACCTCTCACAAAAAAAAAAAATACTTTGGCATAAACTTCTGTGATTCACAATCTCTGTAGCACCCAGGTAAATTTCATACAGGTTTAGAGAATTTTTAAAAATTTGCCAGGGTGCATGTGCATTCACTAGAGAGAGGGTTTGCGCATGAAACCCCCCCCACCCCCACAGGGCATGGTCACATGGCAATCCTTTCTCCATTTTTCCCTCTTTTTGGGATTTTGGATACGCACACACACACACACACACATGGTGTGTCTTTCAAGCTGCTGGGTCTGGGACTCAAACTGCATGATTGGCCATGTGAGATCTAGCTCTCACCATCAGGCCATGGACTGACTGGATAATTTTTGATGATACAGATTTGACATCAAAATATTTAGATTACAGGGGCCAGCAGTTAGCGTAATGACTGTGTTGCTGGACTCCCATGTAGTTGACCACGGTTTGAGTCCCGGACCCGGTGGCTTAAACTCATGCCGGGCGCATGTACATGCATGCCCAAGATCCCGAGAGGAGAATGGAGGAGAAGGGATTGCGGTGTGGCCATCCCCCTTTGGGGTGATTTCTCGCTTTCTGTCTCTCTGTCTCTCTCTGTCTGGCTGGCGAGCGCACACGTCCTATAGCAAAAATCTCTCCAAAAAAAAAAAAAAAGAAAAAAATATTTAGATTACATAATCTAGGACCTCTATCTGTGGTCAAAGTTAGAAAATAAATAATTGAGTACTTAGACAAAACAAATTAGATGATTTCTTGGAATCATGGTATCAGTAATGTCTCTATCTAAGAAGTTTATTCCTTTTTTTGAAAATTCAAATAATTCTCACTTGGCATCCTCTCTTATTTTTCTACTTGCAATATGACATCTCTCCCATATAGTGATGTTAAATTGTATACTACCAAAGATTGTGGACTGAAGTGTAGACCCGTTAGCAGGTTGGGAAGATGTCTATAATAGACTGGCAGGGCATCATGCAGACCAACAGCTCTCTCATTTGGAAGGCTCTGCTCCCCAAAAGTAGGTTACCCCATGTGCACTGCAAATGGTGACTGTCCTGATGCTGTCTCTAGCAAAGCTCTTGGTCTTCTTTCTCCGAGCCAATGAGAGCTCTTGTGTGTCAGAAGTAGTAAGCACTGGTATTTCCTTAACAAGGGTGCTTGTTTGCAGGAAGTGATACTGAGGAGATGCTGCCTTAAAAATAGATTTTAGCAACCAGCAAAACTATCTCTAAGAGATATTTCAGAATGATACAATTTGGAGGGGCTAAACTAAAGAATCATCTAGTATTAGAGACCTAATGCAGTACTCAATGATACTGAGTACAACATCCTTTCTGAGAAACAGAGCAGATTGCTAAATCTGTTTCTCTTCTGAATTTCCCTGGCCTCTGGCCTTAGATGTTGTAAAATCAAAAGTTCTAAATTATTCAGACTTTTTTTTTTCACCTTTAAAGTTACAAAAAGAAATTTGGGGTTTTCATAGAAACCTACAACCAGGTGCTAATGCAAGTGAAATAAAAAGATACCTGCATCAAGTTTGGATGTATGGATTTGACCTATGCTAGCTATCTAGATGAATCCATGAAAGACCTTTTCTTCTCTCCATAAAAGATTAAATACATATATTCTCTTATTTGAAATCAAAACAACCTGCAAAGAATTTTTGTATCAGAGTTCAACCTCATACTAAAGAAAACGTAGGGAAGACGATTTCGCACTGTGTAAGGAAATTCTTTGAAATGGTTGTAGAGCCATAACAACAGTCACTTGTAACTGTGTTACCAAAATAGGGATTCCATGGAATTCTGAGTCATAAATTAGATTGTTGCTCGAGGCTCGGAGTGCCTTTGAAATGCAAGAGCAATTTGGCGCAGATACTGGCAGTAAGTCCTTCCTGTAAAGGGCCAGGTAGAAAATGTTTTAGGCTTTACAGGTCACTGATTCTGTCACTATTTGCTCATCTCTGCTGTTGCAGTATGAAAGATGTCATAGAAAATATGTAAATGAAGAGGCAAGGCTAGGTTCCAACAAAACTTTATGGGCACTGATACTGAATTTCAAAGAGTTTTCATGTGTTATGAAATACTGTGTTTAGCAATTTTGTTTTGGGAGCCAGCAGGTGGGATAGTGGTTAAGGAAACGCAGTCCCAAGTGATTGATGGTGGTTTAAGTTCTGGGTGGTGACTTGGAAGTCATGCCAGGGATATGTGTGTGTGAGCCCAAAATCCTGAGAAGAGAATGGAAGAGAAGGGATGGCAGTGAGCCACCCCCCCTCAGGAGGTGATTTCTCACTTTCCTTCTCACTGACTCTCTTCAGAGAGTGAATGTACCTTATGGCAAAAAACAAAACAAAACAAAACAAAACCAAAAAACAAACAAACCAGAAAAACCTAAAAAAATTTTTTTCCAGTCAGTTAAAAATGTTTGGAATCCGGGGGCCCGGCCCAGCTGGCGGCGGCGGCAGAGGCGGGGGGGGGGGGGGGGGGGGGGGCCGTAACAGAAAGAACCTTTAACTGCCTTAAACCAACTGAGAAATACACTATAGAGAAGGATTTTATCTACCTATGGACAGTGAGAAGGTGATGGATACCAGCCCTGCATTACCTCAGGCAAGAACAGGAACTACCCTGCCATTCTTAGGGAAGCCAGACACCAGAGGATAAGTCACGCTGCAGACCTCCACAACACCACTCCTGCTAACCACAAGATGGCCGCTGTGCCACATCAACTGATGGTCAACTCTGCTTACCAGAACTGCTTTCCTGAAACTGTATTCCATGGAGACTCACCTACAGTTGCGGAACTGCACGAGACCCACACTTGATCCAACCTTGAATGGAATCTATTTTCCCTATTGTTAAAAACTTTGGACTCGTGACCCCTCTCCCTCTACTCGCAGGTATCGCATTTTCAATGACCCCTCTGGAGGATAGCTGTCTATAGCAGAGATAGAGTAATTGGGAGAGGGGGAAAGGGCTGAGGGTCAAACATAGGATAAAAAACATATTTATATGTATGAAAGTAGAAATGGAACAGTATTGGTGACGACATGCTTGATTAAGACACTATGTAGTTTATCCTAGATGGGAAACTACACTTGGTGTGTTGTGATGATACTCAGGGAATGAGTGTTAGGCAATATAATTTAATATAAAAAAAGTAATAAGCAGGAGGAAAAAAAAATGCACATTTGATGACTGAAGAGAGTTGTATGGACACAACTGGGGTCTACTTTATAATATGTTCATTCTACTCCCTGGGGTTTATGCCTAGGATCAGATTTGGATACATGTGTAAGGATATGTCAGCTGTGCTAGCTAGTGGATATACTTAGACTAATTGAGTTCATTGGTAGAACAATTGAATGGGGGGGGCGGAAGGCATTGAGGGCAATCATGAATGTTAGGGACAATGGAGGAGGAAGACGGGACATGGCAGAGGGTGGGGATGGGGAACCTAGGATGGCAAAACAAAAGGCAAGGTATGCAGGACACAAAAATTGGGAAATCATTTGCTGAGAACATATATGTTGATGTGCTTGATTGAGCCAATGCACAGTGTATTTTGGATGGAAAATTCATATGTGTGTTGTGATGAGAAAAAAAAATTTATAATAAAAAACAAAGTATAAAAAAAAAAAAGGAGAGAGAAGAGGATAAAGACAGCAGTGAACAATAGAGAGGCAGGATGTTAATGAGAAATAGATATGGTTTATTACCTGTTGATGATGACATGTATAGTATTCTCAACTGAACCGGTCTGGAAAGTATTTCATGATGGGTGAAGTCTTTTTAATAAGCAAAATGAGAAATAGTGATTGACTGTTTAAAAAAATTATAATAATAATTATTGGGAAAAGCATGGAAAAGATATTGAATGATAAAGCGGGGAGATTGATATCTCTGTATTGACTGACATGCATGGCATTCCCTTTTGAAAAAGCAATGGAAGTCAATGTAAAGTTATATGTAATCTAGTGTAATAGAAAGAAGATTATGATGATAATAAAATAAAAAAAAAATGTTTGGAATCCACGGTGAGGTAGTTAACGTGGCTAGATCCCACATGGCCAACAGTGTGGTTTGAGTCTTAATCTGCTGACTTGGTCACATATGCATAATCAAAATTTTGAAAGGAGGGCTAAATGGAGGAGAAGGGATTGTGGAATAACCATCCCCTGTAGCTGGGTGCTTTCTCACTCTCTCTGTCCCTGCCCAGTGAATGTATACACTCAGTGGTAAATTAAAATAAATAAATAAAAAACTTATTCTAGCTTGTGGGCATTAGCAGGCATCAGTTTATCAACATCTAATTTAGAGAGAGTGGGCTGTGCTTTTGATCTGGAAACTGAGAGGGACAAAAGGAGAGAGGACATACACAGTTGCCCTTCGTTCAACCACCCTGACAGAAACCCGACAGCCACTCACAGGAGCTAGCAGGCCAGAGTCCCAAGTTACCTGGGGAGTTCTGAGGTGAGGAACAGGGTGAACAGCGGGGAGAGAAGCTATACCCAGGGTGGAAGGCAGACTGCAGGGGGACGTAGGACATGATCTCTTCTTCAAAGAGACTGTAAAGTTAGAGAAAGAAAAAGTGTTAGCTGTTGGTTCCCAAGAAAGCGTTCATGAACTGGGGTAACGGCAGTTACAGTTCTCACAAGGCAGCAGCGGCAATTAGATTCAGAGGCCCATGCAGCTTGTAAATTCTCAGTGTCCTTTTAAACCCTCATTAATCCTACAGCAATATCTCACTCGGCCTTTGATACTCCAGTTGTAAATCTAAATATGGTGAGGGACAGCAGGCATAGGGTGGGGCCCTACTTGAGCCGTGGCCACTAGAATCCTCTAGAACAAAGGATGAGCAAGCATGTCAGTCTGGGCCTGTCCAGGAACTGCCCAGAGCTGTTTTCCCAAGACTGTCTCGAGGCCAGCACCTTACCTCAGCAAAATGACGAGGTCTGCATCACAGGACAACTTTTCAAGCCCGTGATTACCCTCGGTCCGAATGTAATGGATTTTCTCCCTAGAATAACATGGGAAAGAAAATGAGCATTTCACACCAACGCATAAGCTGAGAAATGCATCTCTTTCCGATGCCTTTGTAGTCAGTCTTTCAACATGGCTGAACAGCGATGGCCTAGTGTCCGGGTATTTCATGGTTTCCGTAGCCCGTGTGGCAGGCTGACAGGGATTCCTGCTCCTCATACTCATACGGGCAGCAGCCGAGGAACTCAGCAGGGTTAGGGCCTCAGAAAGCTAAGGTGGTCTGGAGTGGAGCAGCTGAAGGGTTGTTCTGGGCTTGTGGGGTATTAGGAGCCATAGGAGGAAAGAATAAGTGAAGAGTCTTAAGAAACCTTGTGCCTGATGGAAAATTTATAATGCTTCACTGGGCACAGATGGGCCTGATCTTCAGAGCAGAAAGTCTCTCCAGTCCAAGCACAGGCATCGATCAGTCTCTACTTAGTTATATCTAATCTTTTTTCATAACCTCCAACTCCAACCTGGCAAACGATTTCAAGGAAGTCCATGCATAAAAGTAGCAATTGTTTTGATCAAATGAACTTTGAAATTTACTTCCCTGACATCATGCATCTTGAGCATAGTATTATACTATGCCATTGTGTGCATGTTTCAAAGGACTTAAATGTTCTACCTTTCTTGTGGAGATACATCAGAAATCTGGGAAAACTTCAGAATTCATTTTTTAAAAAATTTACATTTCCCCTTCTTACTTTGTTTAAATTTTTATTTTGATATGTATTTGTAAGAAACAGTTTTTTAGATTTGCATGTAGTTGTAAGAAATAATACAGAGAGATCTTACTATTCCCTTCACTTAGTTTCTCCCAATGGTAATGTAGGGCTGATTTTCTGAAAAAAACCTACATTCTTTTTAAAAAAATTTTATTTATTCATCTGTTCATTTTAATTTGACGAGAGAGAGAGAGAGAGAGAGAGAGAGAGAGAGAAAGCCACCAAGTCTAGGACTCTAACCATGGTCAGCTATGTGGGAGTGTCCAGAGCCTTAACCACCACACGACCTGCTGGTCCCCTAAAAAACCTATTTCTAATAATACTGTGGAAGGCCAGCCAGTGGCATAGTGGTTAAGGCAGCTGGATCCCTCATGGCCAACTGTGCTGTTCAACTGCTGGACCTGGTATTATGAAAAACGTGTCAGTTATATGTGTCTGTGTGCCCCAAATTTTGAGACGAGAAATGGAAGAGAAGGGGTTGCAGCATGCCATCTGTTCATGAGGGGGCTTTCTCACTCTCTGTCTCTCTATGGCAAGTACACATACTCTATCGTAAAACTTAAAAAATAAAATATGTAGATATAATCTTTTCTTCTTTCTGATTATATTAAGGTAGATCCACATTTTTGTCATAACTTGTATATTTTCAGGCAAAGATATATAATCAACTCAACCTTTTGGTGTGGAGATTTAAAAATAACATGCAAGGAAAACTTCATAACTACTACAAAGATACACAAAATGGGATTACACAGAGAAATGCATCATGCAACCTCAGGGTATAGGTGAAGTATCATGGCAGGAAATGCTGCTACCAAAACCTAGAGAGTGTTGGTAGTGACTTCTCTAACTGGGGTTTGGAAAATGGAGCAGATCTAATCACATGTCATTTTCCAGGGAGTGCGTAGGATCCCAATTAAAGATGCAAGTCCCATGCCTCTCTCAATACCTGTTTCTCCCTCTGCCCATGTCCTTCACTCCATGTCCCTGGCCTTAGTTTTCCATATCCTGAGTCTACCTCACAGCCCTCTTGTTTGGAAGATGCTCTTTGACCTGCTCCTTTGATTTACTGATCTCAGGCCCATGACTCTCAAATTTATATGCTTCTCCACGGGACCCACATGTGATTGAGCCCTTGACCTCCCCACCCTGCACACTCTAGGGATAACTTTTAATAACCTAGGGTTCCTGGAGAAGAGGAAGTCCAGAGAGAGCCAAAGTCTGGCAGCAAAGTCTGTTCCTGGTCACAGAAAGTAGCACCCCAATGCAGTGGTTCTATCATCCTACCAACCCAGATGGACCACATCCATGTGTCAGAATGCTAAGCAGTTTCCTGAAAGTTCTGGTGGCTCTCCTTTGGGCATTACACACTCATTCATGTCTATGAACATCTCATGCAGCTATAGTGGTGTTAGAAACTTCTCAATCCCCCTGGGACTCTATCCCCAGGGCACTGAGAACTTGAGAAGATACCTGAGTGCAAAAATGCTCTCTCTCTATGCAAGCCTATATTTCTTGGCTATCAGGAAAACTCCAGTGCAAACACCTTAGAGCTCGGGTCAGTAGAGCCGTGTGCTTCCTAAACATACTGAGATCTCCATTTGTGGCCTCAAAGATCTCAAAACTCAATACCCAAAATGAAATCTGTGATAGACTTCTTCTAATGAAGCCAGTTCCTTCTCCACAGTTTCCCATTTTGATAATGTTTAAAGTTTCTTGGATTTTTGTTATAATATTGTTTAATACCACAACATGGTTGAAAATTGTTTATTTCCCTTTGGAAATACTGCATAGAAAAACAGAAAAACACATCATGAATTTCTTGAGGGCCTGATATATTCCACTCTTTTACATAAGAGATTACTTTAAAAAACTTTTTTAATGATTAAAATGGGCTTTTGTTCCCTTTGGTACGTTTTCTACCTTCCAAAAAGTAAGAAGCGAACTCTCTATACAGTGATAGGATCAGTAACAAAACATTTTTTTTTTTTTGAGAGATTTTCACTGTAGGGCACGTGCGCTCGCCAGACAGAGAGAGAGACATAGAGACAGAAAGCGAGAAATCACCCCCCAGGGGGGATGGTCACGCCGCAATCCCTTCTCCTCCATTCTCCTCTCGGGATCTTGGGCATGCACGCACACGCGCCCGGTGTGAGTTTTTTAAGCCACCGGGTCCGGGACACGAACCACGGTCGACTACGTGGGAGTCCAGCGACATAGCCATTACGCTAACTGCTGGTTCCCGTGTAACAAAACATTTTTAATAGCAGTAATCTGTCAAAAACTCTTCTGATAATACAACTCCCATGGAAATCTCTTGAAAATTCCCTTAAATTGTTATATATGGTGAGTCAAAGGGCAACTAAGAATAAATAACCCATATGACTGAGTATGGCACTGCCTTTGTCATGGCACAGTGGTGAGATCTGGGAAGATAATTAAGAGTTGAACATTAGGGAAAGTGACAATTACATGTGCTAAGGTTTATTTATTCATGCTGAAGACCTTCTATTTACTCCAAAATTAATTAGTGTCTCCTATCTTCAAAGTAGAAGACCAGATTCTGAGGGGGCAGAGCTGATACAAAGACAAGGGAAACAGAGGCCCAGCTTGAAAGAGCTAATAGTTTTTTAGGGAGACACAGATAAAGATAGAACATAAATTAAACATATCTTAGAGGTTCAAAAGAATTCTATTATAGTAAGACAAAAGAAGTACTACGGTGCTCCTGGATCATTGAATTTTTGCATTGATCCGAGCTTTTAGAATGGGTTCATGAAAATGTCGGATAAAGAATTCAGAATATTCACAGTGACAAAACTCACTCAAATAAGATACAAGAGAAAAGAGATAATGAACTCCAGAAGGTAGAAGAGAAAAAAGATGATGAGTTCCAGGAGATGAGGAAGTCCTTCCATGGTTTGAAAGAATAAATACACGCCATAAAAAAAGAATGGAAAGGAACTGTTAGAGATGAAGGCTGTGATACAGGAAATCAAAACCTCCCTTGAAAGTATTAAAAACAGATTAAGTCATGCAGAAGATTGAATCTCAGATGTAGAAGACAAAACCTCTGACCTAGAAAAAAATCACCAAAAAGACTGAGAAAATAACCCCCTAAAATGAGAATAATATACAAAAAATACTAGATACCTTTAAATGCCCAAACATCTGGGTAATTGGTATCCCAGAGGGTGAAGAAACTAATAAGAGTATTGATAAACTAATAAGGGCATTGATCATTCTTCCAGGAAATCCTGGAAGAAAACTTTCCAAATCTAGAGAAGCATTCAAACATCTAGACCCAAGAAATACAAAGGACCCCAAATAGAATCAACCCAAGAAGATCTTCTCCAAGGCACATCATAGCCTGATTGACCAAAACCACAGAGAAAGACAGATCCTAAAATTGGCAAGAAAGTAACATCAAGTTACCTATAAAGGTTATCCCATCAGGCTAACTTCGGACTTCTCACTGGAAACAACGCAAGCAAGGAAAGAATGGGAAAATATATTCAAAGTGTTAAACAAAAAACAATTTCAACCAAGATTACTATACCAGGCAAGATTATCCTTCAAATGGGAAGGAAAAATAAAAACATTCTTAGAGAAACAAAATCTGAAAAAATTTACCAACACCAGACCAGCTCTTCAAGATGTTCTGCAGGGAGTGCTATACCAGGAAAACTAAAGGTAGACACACAGAAATAAGCAGGGGAAACAACAACCAATAAAATGGCCAATTTAATGGTAGGAACAAGTCCAGAAATATTGATAAAATGCTGAATGTTAATGGATTAAATTCTCCAACCAAGAGACACTGGCTGAATGGATAAAAACACAGAAACCCTTATCTGTTGCCTACAAGAAACACTCCTCATGGATAAAGACATACATAGACTAAAAGTGAAGGGCTGGAAAAAGGCATTCCAAGCAACTGGAAACCAAAAAAGGGCTGGGATCATGGTACTGATCTCAGACAAAATAGACTTTAAGTCAAAAACTGTAAGAAAAGACAAAGAAGGGTGTTATATGGTGTAAAAGGGATAATTCATCTAGAAGATATAACACTTATAAATATCTATGTAACCAACTAAGGAGCTCTCAAATACATAACAGAAAGACTGCTAGATCTAAAAAGAGAGATTGATTGCCACACGCTAATTGTTGGGGATCTTGATACCCCATTATCTCCTTTAGACAGATCATCTAGACAAAAAATAAGCAAAGAGACACAGGTTCTAAATAATATCATAAATCAAATGACCTTGACAGACATCTATAGAACCGTCCACCCAAAACCCATGAAATACAAAAAATGGTGAGGGATACTGAAGACAGCGGAGGAAGAGGGTGGGAGAAGGTAGAGAGTATGAGGGAAGAAATTAAAGAGAAAAATAGAGAGGCAAAACATTTATGGGACACAGAAATGGATTATTATCTGTTGATGATAATGTGTATAGTATCCTGAATTGGACTGCCATGAAGTGTATTCACATTGGGTAAATTCACTTTACAAACTAAATGATGTATACTGGTTGAATGTATAAAATAGAAAATAAAATAAAATAAAATATAAAATTAAAAAAAATAGTAAAAATAAAGTGGGTTGATACGCTGTTTTACACCACTTTTTTTTTTTTTTTATAAAAGCAGTTTTGTTCCCTTCTGCACTTTCCTGGAATTTAATGGGGGCTATTTCAGGATCATATAGATAATATGTAACTTAACAATATGACTTTCTCTGAATGCGCCACACGGAAACCCTGGGCCTTTCATTGTGAGGATCCAAGTTAAAATTGAAATGCACAAGTTAAATGCATCATAAGCTTCTGCCCTCTCTCCACAGAGGGCATCCCCCCTGGAAGAATATCTAGAAAGACCTCGTGTGCCAGGGATGAGGGCTGAGCCCTACCTGAGTGCATGGTTCCTTGCCAAGCTGGGCTGACGTTCTTGCAGCATTTCAAAAATGTTTGGCTGGCGGAGAAATGCCACAATCTTGTCATTATATGCTGAAACAGACAAAGGCGCAGAGTTGTGGTTGAGTCTGAGGCACAGAGATAGCTTCTCTGATGATTAGAAGATGGCTGCAGGATCCCAGGATTAATGTAGGCGTTGGAAGGGCAGGTAGCATGCTCATCGAAAAAATGCAAGCTCTTGAGGGGGCTTTTGTTTTTTTCATGCAACATAATACCATTATTATTTTTAAAAGATCAAACTAAAAGTGAACCAGACCTAAGCTAATCATCCTTGATACGTCAGAAACTTCACTGCCTATTACCACAGCTCTGCATAAACACATGAAGGGGAGTAAAGTAGCTCTCTCACGAGAGGAGTTCTCCTCTCTTCTTTCTAGCTCTTCTTGGTCACTTTGCCATCGTTGTTACATCAAAAGTTTCTTCATGGATCGAAAGAAATCCTTTCCTGACCACCCAACACTTATGACCCGTAGTCATGCACTGATTTTTCTATAGTGACAATGGAAACACCCAAGTCCATTAGATTCTCTCACCTCATTTCCCTTGATAGAAGTGGCATGTGTTTTGAGAAAAGGGAACTGAGGTTAGGGATGGAAAACTGCAAATATTTCCCCATATACACATGGAATGAAAGCTCTCACTTAAAAACTCTGTCCAGCAACACGGAACTCCATTCCCTGATTTGAACTGTGCTCTCTTGGATGGAGAGAGCAAATCACCATATAGAATAAAGAAGAAAGGACAGGAGGGTCTGCAGGAGAGTCGGCAAGAGAGGAAGGGGAAGAGAGGAGGACGAAGTAGAGGAAGAGACCGGGGACGAGGGCAGACGAGGGGGAGTAGAACTATCATAAAAGAGGAGAAAGAAGACCGAATCTTGGGTATTAAAACGAGACTGAGTGTCGGGTAGCCAGGGGTTCAAAGGGGTGGGATACATACCCAGTGGCAGTGCCTCATGTTGATGCTGGCTTCGAATAGCGGCTACTAGGCTGTGTCCTGGCCTGGCCAGCAAAGAGGCTCCTCTGTTTCTAGAGACTTCTGAAGCCTATTTTTAAAATAAAAGTGTAAGCGTCGGAAATCTGTCATCACTTTCAGATGGTGTTTTGATACCAATATTTTAACATAAGGGGTAAAAGATCCTGAGATCACCTCAGTTTTTAAAAAGTAATAAGATAATTAATGAAACAACAGTCTTCAAAGCTATAAAAAATAAACAGGTTAAATAAGTGACTAAGTAAGGTGGGGGATGAGCTCTATTTATTTTTAAGAACGCGTGCCACAGTCATAAACATTAATCAAATTACTACTCTGAATAGGCTAGAACTACTTCTCATCATAAATATGTTAAAGAGAGAAATTCTAGATTAATATTATCCACAAGGCAGGCTTATAACCCTTCTTTCTGAGAGACAGCACTGAACTTCAATGCTGAATATGGAATCGACTTGCTTTTAAAAAGAAAAAAAACAAAAAACCAAAACTTTCTTTTCTCTCTCTTCTTCTTCCATTCTTTTATTTCTTTCTTTCATGTCTTCTATGAAAGAGGGAGACAGAGACAGAGTGAGAAAGAGATAGGGACAGGCGCCACTAATCAATGGTCATATCAAGATCCTCCCTCAGTCTTGGCTAGCCAGAATCATGGGCACATGAATGTCTGGCTTGCACTGGGAGACCTTGGGGTGTGAACCCGGGACCTTTCGCTCTGGTCTCAGCATTATATAGCATCGTGTTACTGCTGTACCACTGCACCTGGCCTACAGTTGCTCTTTTAAACCATATTAATGATTGCATTGAAAACCCACTTTTTTTTTTTTTTTGGAGAGGTTTTTGCTATAGGGCATGTGCGCTCACCAAATAGACAGAGACAGAGAGACAGAAAGTGAGAAATCACCCCCCAGGGGGGATGGCCACGCCATAATCCCTTCTCCTCCATTCTCCTCGCGGGATCTTGGGCACGCACGCACATGCACCCTGTGTGAGTTTTAAGCCACTGGGTCCGGGACTCGAATCGTAGTCGACTACATGGGAGTCCAGCGACATAGCCGTTACGCAAACTGCTGGTCCCAAAAACCCATTCTTGAGCCAGCCCAGTAGTGTAGCAATAAAGCATTGAGCACTGGGAGCAAGATCTCACATGGCCAACCATAGTTTGAGTCCTGAGTCCTATAGCTTGAAAAACATGCTGGGCATTTGTGCCTGCCTGCATGCCCCACCTCCTGGCAGGATGAAAGGGAAGAAAAAGCATAGCAGTGTGACCATACCCCACTGGGAGTACGACCTCTCTCTCTCTCTTATTTAAAAGTAAAACAAACGAACGACAGACAAAACCCCCAAAGACGTTCTTTGTTGAATGTCCATTTGTCTATTCATTATGCTGGCCTCTTTTCACCTAATAACATAAATTCTGCAAGATAACTTATTATCAACCCCATTTGTCAAATAGGAAGTCTGAGGATCTGGGAAAAGTTGTTTTCTCAAAATTTTCAACTGTAAGAGAGAAAACCAGGATTCTAACTAAAAGTGACTGAAGAGTACTTGTTACTGTTTCTATGCTACCAGTTTGTGCTCAATACCTTGGTTGGGGTTGGGCATTTTGACAAACTTCATGGGATAACTTGCTTAGCCCAAAATTGATATTTGTGATGATTAACTTTAAACTAACTTGATTCAGTGTTACATGTTAATAAATCCCCTAAGTGCTAGAGCACAATGATGACCTTTCTTTTCTTTCTTTTGTTTAGTATTACTTTTTAGGTTTTGGCCACAGGGTGCATGTGCTCACTTAGAGAGACAAACAGTGAGGGGAAAGTGCAAAATCCCCCACCCCCGCCAAGGAGGATGGCCATGCAGCAACCCTTCTCCTCCATTCTCATCCTGGGATTTGGGGCATGTATATGCACTCAGTGTGATTTTTCGAGCTGCTAGGTCTGGAATTTGAACTGCGGTTGGCCATATGAGAGTCCAGCACCTTAACCACCATGCCACCTGCTGACCCCTCAAAGCACGATAATGACCTTTCTATTGTGATTCTATGTGAATTTTCTTCAATGCTCTTGCAGAGGAAGGTATTAATAATGAAGAGTTTCTACATTGGAGTATATCACCAGATATATAGGATTTAGTGTGTGCTATGACTCATTCTATGATATTTAGCAAAGTATGCTAAAATATGCTTTAAAGTACTGATGGATTTTGAAGGGTTAAAATAAAAACTTTAGATAAATTTCTTGTAGTTTAATTGAGCAAAGAATGATTTGCAAATCAGCAGCCTTAAGAACCAGGGAAGGGGACCAGCAGTTGGCACAATGGCTATGTCACTGAAATCCCATGTAGTCGACTGCGGTTTGCATCCCGGACCTGGTGGCTTAAGGTCACACCGGGCACGTGTGCGTGTGTGCCCAAGATACCAAGAGGGAGAATGGAGGAGAAGGGATTGTGGCGTGGCCATCCCCTCTGGGGGGTGATTTCTCGCTTTCTGTTTCTCTGCCTCTGTCTGTCTTTCTGGTGAGCACACATGCCCTATATGAAAAACCTCTCCAAAAAAAGAGAAAGAAGAAGAACCAGGGAGGGTCCGAGAGCGCCCCTTTGTAAAGCTGGCAGGCTGCATTTATGAACAGAAAGTGTATGGAGGTTGAGGAAGTGCTTGGCCGGTCACAGCTCCACATTTGCCTTATTTGTGGTCTGTTGGTCATCTGTGATTGGCTGAGTGTTGGTGGCTATGACTGGCTGAGACTCAGCTCTTTGTTACAAAAGGGTACTGTACTCCTGCAGTTAGTTTATGTGCTAAATTATTTGGTTGTAACTCCTTGTGTAAGACTCAAGGTCAGAGGCATCCTTAGGCCAAATTCAGTTTAATTTAACAGGAGAGTCTTTTATAAAACACTAATAAAGGTTTCAAACATCCAGATTAAAAAAGGAAGTAAAAGGAGCCAGGTGGTGGTGCAATAGTAACACCAATGGATTCACATGGGAAAGGTCCTGGTTTGTATCTTGGGACCTCCCCGAGAATAGCAGGCACATGACTCTGATCTGCGCTGGCTAAGACTGGGGGGCACTGTGACATGGGGTACTGCCTCTCCATTTTCCTTTCTCTCTCTGTTTGCCTCTGTCTCACGGAAAAGAAAAAAAAATACATATATATATA